GATAGAAGAAAGGATGAGGAGAAGGGTAGTGGATAGATCAAGGCAACTGGAGATGTCGATCGACATTACATTTAAGGCGCTTGAACTCATGAAGTCTGGGAACCAGCGAATGCAGCTCCTTGGAGCAATTGCCATGAAAGTATTTGTAAAACAGACAGAGAGAGGTGACGGCGCGTCTGTGACAGAGTGACTGTAGACGAGATGCCAGATCAGGACCAATTATATTGCATATCTGCCTCTGGAGCTTATCAAGAACCCCGAGGCAAACAGAAGGGGCTCCAGACCATATATGGCAGCAATACTCCATGCAAGGGCGAATTGTTGATTTGTAGATCTGGAGGATTGATTCCAGGGAGAAAAATTTCCTGAAGCCAATTTTCCTTTCAGTAGACGAAGGAGGAAGCAATTGACTCAATGTACTTGAACCCAGGGTCATTTTGTTGGGGCACTATTGATTTTATTGCAGCAGTATTAAAGTTTTTAATGCCAAACTTTATACACACACATACACATATACATACATATATATATATATATATATATATATATATATATATATATATATATATATGGATCAATATTGTGAATTTCTTTCTTCATTTAACGATAATGTTATTAAACTTATCAGATGTTACGAAAAAAATTTACATAAAATAAATAGACAACACTTGTCTATATTATTTAATGAAACATGTATATATATGTATGTATGTATGTATGGGTGTCTATGTGTGCATGCACACATATACATGTGTATGTGTGTGTGTGTATATATATATATATATATATATATATATATATATGTATGCGTGTATATGTATATATATATATATATATATATATATATATATATATATATGCATGTGTATGCGTGTATATGTATGTGAAAAGTGTGTGTATAGGGATATAGATGAATATGTGTATGTGTGGATATGTGAATATATTTTTATATGTGTGTACATGTATGTATGTGTGTATGTGGGTACACGCCTATGTGTATGTATATACATGTATATGTTATTGTGTGTATTCGCATGTGTTTTTGAACATAGAAATATAGGTCCTTGCTGGATTAGATAATTGTTATATTTATCTTCATATATTTATATTTGATTTGTAACCTGTAGTCGATATTAAATTTGTCAAATTTTCTCAATTACAAAGTGGCCCTTTAAGTAAACGCAATTTTACTTTCCTTCGTCCCATCTCTCTCCCCAACCTCGTCTTTCCCTCCCTCTTATTCTAAGATTAAATTGTCTATGGTGTGTGTATGTCACCACGAAATGTATCTTTATGCATTAGACATCCGTCAACATTCATTCTTTTCTCTTATTTAAACCCCTTCCACCCATCTCTCCTAAAATTCTCTCTGTTAAGGTTTAATCTCCCTCCTCCTCATACTTACACTCTCTCTAAATTCTGTTTTTATTTCCGGAGTTGGATTTTTTCTGTTTTCTTTTTGAATTTGTAGGTCTGATGAATTGGATCGTATTTACGATTCCAATGGAATAAATTATGACCATGGAATATTAGTGTTTAAGCCTTTTTATTTTATATATATATATATATATATATATATATATATAGTCAAACCTAGAGTAGGTAGGTTTGTCTGGCTCTCTAGGTTTGACTAGGTCTGCTCTATTTTTGTATTGAGCACTTTTTAGTTAGTTGATTACTTGCATCAGGGTTTTTTTCTTTGTGCTTTGGACCTGTACGATCATTTTCGACAGATGTTCATGTTCCTAGCTCTTTCTTTTTTTTAAAACCTTTTTTCCTTCGAAATTGATTTAATCATTAGCAAATCAAGAAACCAAAGGTTTTCCGAGACGAGTGTAGTTAACTATATTTATATATATATATATATATATATATATATATATATATATATACACACACACACACATACTTCCACAGATTCACTAAAAAATGAGCATACCATAATGGAAAAATGCCCCAAATAATAAAAACAAAGTTTTATCATTAAACCCTTTGTTATTATTAAGAGGAAATACAAAAGTGTTTCTTTATTATGAAATTATAACATTTAAGATTTTGGTTAAAAACCTTTATTTTTCTTTTTTTTTTTCTTTTTTTTTTTTTTTTTTGGCATCAGCTGGAGGATCAAAGATTAGTTTAGGAAATTTTAGTGTCTTTTTTGCAGTGATAAACACACTGATTTCGAAATTCTTGCAAAAATCAAATAATTGTCAGATTTTAATGAAATTTTCAGGACTTATTCACAAATGAATTAAATTATCTTAGAAATATTTCTCTTTTAGAAAATCTTGGTAAGAACATTTTTTTTTTTACATCTGTTACATCTCGCTTATTTAATTTTATGAAATTTCAAGAAATTAATTTTTGTACTTCTTAATGTTTATATTAGTTATGTACAAAATTCATTGGAGAATTTAAATCCTCAATTTTTTTTGTAAAACAGGACCCCCCCCACCTCACCAGTTACCAAAAAGCTGCTCTGAATGATTAAATAAAAAAGGCAATAAAACTATGACATTATTTAATTAGAAATGATTTTAATTACTTTAATTTTTTGGTGTGACATGCCAATTCTTGTAAATACAGGCATCAATATACAAGATTATAAGAAAGTAAGAGCGATAAATATAATGAATTTAAAGCCAAAGTACCTAAAATTCACTAAAACATTAGATTACTGAGAATATTTTCCTAAATTTTTAAGATTAATGACTACTTAAAAATTATATAAAAAGGTGATCATTCCTTAATTTTTACAGCTGTCAACCTGTCAACACCTTAAATAAACACCTACCTCTGTGTTAAAAAATGCATTTCTGTGATATTTTGAACTGAAAGTAAGTAATATTTGTTTCAAATCAGATTAATTAAACTTTAAATAAGTTAGTATTCCTCAAGTAAGGCTTCAGAAAATTATATTTTATTTTTGCAAGATTTTTTTAATAAAGAGAATTACATTGTGATGCAAACCAAAAACTCTTTCCAGTCAATTTAACTTAGTTTTGAAATATTAAATTTAATCTATTAACCTCAAATTAAAATTAAAATAAATGCTTCAAGAAAGATTTTTTCATTTTTAAAAATTCATCTTAAATCTTAGGTATTGCGTTTCTATAAAGGTACCTATATATGAGAATTTTATAATAGATTTTTTATTAATCCAATAGATTTTTATCACTTGAAAATTATTTTCAGTGGATACTTATATATGAGTAGGTGCTCTGTTTATTTATTAAACAGTATATTTATTTATTTTCATCTACTGGCCTGAATGTTTGAGAAATCTTATTAAAGAAAAATTTGCATTCTGTGGCAGGAGGGAGCTACTGCTAATCTCGGCACACTGTAACCAACTAAATTACAGAGAACAGTCAGTCAGGTGAGGGTCAAATTTTGTGCCTTTAAGTGAAACTTCTCTCATCATGGAGGGGTAGTTTGTACCCAAATGTAAACAAAGAGAATTTTGGATTTTTTATTAATCCGATAGATTTTTATCACTTGAAATGTTATTTTTAGTGGATACTCGTATTTTAGAGGCCAAATGGATAGAATGTTGCCACCATGAAACCCACATTTGAATCGCAATATGGTTGATTTGTCAGGATGGTGACTTGTTGATGCTATCAACCTTGGAAGGTGATTCCAATGTGCGGCACCTTTGGAAAGTGCCAGAAAACCATACCATGGGTTGACTCAAAGCCTGTGAGTGAAACTGTCTAGACAGATCTGATCAGAAGCCAAAAATGGTTGTACAGTAGTCCACTATTATAGTGTGGGCTTTGGGTCCAAGATGGCTGAACCATGTTGCAAGTGAATCGTGGTAGCTGTTGGGGTGGGGTAGGGGATAGGAGGTTGAACACCTACCAGATTTTTGGGCCCCTATTTGCCCTATTTTGCAATATATATTGTAGATAATGGCTTGAAAAGAAACTCAAAAAATTATACTAATTTATGCCAATGATTCCATAAAATTTTTTGGGTAATTTGCTTTTTAAGCCCTGTGCTAAGTATCTAATAAAAATTTCCCAAACAGTTATTTTTTATTCTAAATTTACATGTCTAATTTGAAAATAATAAAGAAATTTTTATAAAATCTACTGTTTTGGAGTTATCAACAATAAAAGTTTAGACTTGTTTGTGTTATTGTTGGTTATAGCATGGCAGCCATTATTGGTGTTGTTTCCATCAGTGTGTGTGCAATAATTGAGACAAGTGAATGTCTATTCTGTAGCAAATATCTGTAAAAAAATGAGAGTAATGGCTGCCACAACACGAATGAGTCAGAATTTTTATTGTTGATAACTTGGAAAAGGTAGATTTTTATCAAAATTTCTTTGTTATTTTTAAATTAAGCATGTAAATTTACATGTAAATATAACTATTTGGGAAATTTTTATTAGATACTTAGTGTGGGGGTTAAAAAGCAAATTACCCAAAATTTCAACTTATTTCAGTGTTTTATAGCAGATTTTTTATACAATAAATTTTAACTGTCCTCAAAAGTACTTCCTCTTGCAATGCATTATGGTCTAGTTTGAAAAGTAGTCCAGCATTGTAAAAAGAAAAGACAAATATGGAAAGCATGAAGTATAAGAAATTAAATTTATTTCACAAATATCACATTTGCTATACATATGATAAAATCAGACAATATGCACAATGGTCATATGAATAAATAAAGAAAAATACATTCATATTAATAAAATAATCAATGTCCATTAACTCAATGTTTAACATAAATGTCAGTGAGCTTCTTCTGCACACTGCCCTTCCTAGCTCACAGTTGGGTCCTCCTGAGAAGGTCTCTCAGGTGTAGGGTTGTGATGAGTTCCTCGTTCTGCTGCTCTTCCACATACTCAATGAGCCAGTGGAGGTGGTCTACTGCATCAGTGTAGCTCTGATGGTGCTTCTTCTGCTTCCTCCTCCTCGTCCTCCTTCTTCACCTCATCTAGGATCTCCTGGTTGGTCAGAGTCTGTTATAGGGGTGTCATTCCCTACCTCTACCTGGGACCACATGTTGACCCAGTCCTGGAGGGTGAAGTTTGAAGGCCTTCCTCTAAATAACAGTTCCTCATTGTAGCCTTGGAGACTGTCTCCCAAGCCTTGGCTGTCAGGTAGAAGGAGTCCTTCAGTGTCAGCTCCTTCAGGTAGTCTGTAATGTGCCTGTCAGATCCAGCATCTCCATCAACCAGTTCCTTCTTATACAAGGCCTTAAAGGACTTGATGATGCCGGCATCACAGGACTGAATCTTTGAGGTGGTGTTCTTGGACAAATACTTCACAAAGATCTGTCCATTTGGAGTCCTCAGGGTACTGGCTGCTGGATGGGTGCTGCAGTTGTTCAACAGCAGGACTGCCTTCTCTGGTAGGTTCCTCGAGCACAGGTGCCTCCTCACAATGGGGATGAAGTTCTTGAAGATCTCAGCAGTCATCCAGCTCCTTGCAGAGTTGGAATACAACACTGGGAGGGTGGCCATATTCAGCTTGTGGATCCCAGCAGTATTGTAGGTGAACAGGATGGTGATGCAGTTCTTTGCCTGCTTGTAGCCCTCGGTCTTGTGGATGTCATCCTTCACAGCCAGGATTCTATCAGGGAGCAT